GACATAATAATAATTTATAAATTATTAAGGGTTCATGAGGGAGGGGGAAAAAGGAAAATGAGCTAATTCCAGGAACCCAAGAGGAAAGCGAATTTTGAGAATGATGAGGGCAACAAATGTAAAAGTGTACTTTACACAATCGATGCATGTATGTATTGTGATGAATTGTATGAGCCCCAATAAAATGATTTTGAAAAAAGACTACCGTTAGACGTTGGACAGTGTAAGATATGACAAAATAGTAATTTATAAACCATCATGGGTTCATGAGGGAGGGGTGAGCCGGGAGGGATGGGGAAAAATGAGGAGCAGATGCCAGGGGCTTACGTGGAGACCAAATGTTTTGAGAATGATGAGGGTAACGAATGTACAAATGTGCTTTATGCAATTGATGTATGTATGGATTGTGATAAGAGTTGTATGAGCCCCCAATAAAACGATTAAAAAAAATACTGATAATAAAACAAAATAATAATGAAAAAAAATTTAAGTGGGGAATGTTACTTATGTCAGAAGTAATTTACCATCGAATTATTGGAATAGAATCCGATCATAAGTCAGGTTCTACTTGTATGAACTTGGCTAATTTTATTTTCATTTCTGACAAAAGGTTCAGGATCTTCACCTTAAACTCTCCTCAGAATCCAAAAGGGCAGATACACTAGCATTTGAAATGAAGCGGCTTGAAGAGAAGCATGAAGCTTTAATTAAGGAAAAAGAGGTAAACATAAACATCACCACCTACGTTATTTATGTTAAGAAAATGTCGTTCTTCTTCCAGTTTTAGAATGCCTTTACTGGTCTCTGAGTGGGAGTGGTATCCATTAATCCTTCTGCTTTTCTCTCATTGGATGTTGGTGGTGGTTAGGTGCTGCTGAGTCAGACCCTGTGCACATAGAATGAAGCACTGCCTGGTTTGAGCCATCCGCACAGTTGGTATATTGGACCCTATTGTTGCAGCCACTGTGTCAGTCCATCTCCTCTTGAAGGTCTTTCTCTTTTTCACTGGCCCTTTACTCTCGCAAGCATGCTATCCTTTTCCAGAGACTGGTCTCTCTGGTTACATGTCTAGTGTACCTGGGACAAAGTCTTGCAATTCTCACTTCTATATTGAATAATTGGCATAAAATAAAGTCTTGTATCATTTCTTCAAAGTTTTGCCAGGTTCTTTTGCAAGGAAACATGCCAAGGTCATATGTCTTGGTGCAAGTTTTGTAACTTAGAGACTCTCATCTCTATGAGAGCAGGGCCATAGATTAAAATTAAGTAAATAAATAAATAAGTAAATAAATCAACCCATCCAACCAACCAACCCACCAATATTTTTGGGTATCGTCCCATAGTGCACAAGCATCACTAGAATAACTTTAGAACATGTCATCATTCCACTTTATAACTAGGGGTGGTATTGCTGGGGAGTCCCTGGGTATCACAAATTGTTAAATGCTCAGCTACTTACTGAAAAGTTGGCAATTTAAACCCACCCTGGTAGTATTTTGGAAGAAAGATCTAGTGATCTTCCAAAAATCATGGCTGGAGGATATGCATCTCTTTCCGCTCACTGTGAATTGGAATCGACTGAATGGTAACTGGCTTGTTTTCAGTTTTACTTTGTCCTTTTTTTTTTTTTTAAAGTATTTCCAGGTCATAGGTAAATGTGTAGTAACTTTGTCATGAACTTGTCAGACTGTTTTCTAAAGGAAATGGTGTATTCTTCAGCAAATTTGGGGGGTTCCAATTTGTCCATATTTGTTTAGATGAGTTTTGGGGGTGGGTTGTCATTTTTTTTGGTTCGGTGCTTTGTTTTTAACAGGGTCATCATGAGTCAGAAGTGACTCAGTGGCAGGTAGTTTGGGTTTTGTTTTATTAATGGCTGTGAAGTGTTGTTCTCATTGTTTTGTTTCTTAATTTGAATAGCCCTTATAACTGATGTTGAGCATACTGTTACATGTCTTCAACCATTTGTAAATCTTTGAAGAAATGTTAACTTAGGATTATTTTTCCATTTTTAAACTAGTGTATCTTAATTATTAAATTCTATACACATTGTAGATAAAATTTTCTTTATCAGATATGACTGAAATATTTTCTTATGTTCTTTTGTTTGTCTTCTCATTTTTCTGATGGTTTTATTTGTTGGACAGGCTTTTCATTTTGATTAAATCCAAGTTTTCTATTACTTTACTTTTTATTCATTTTTTTCTATTATTTTTTTTGCTGTCATTTCTTAGAAACCATTGTCAAACCTAACCTCACTAAGATAAATTCTTATGTTTTCATCTGAAGATCGTACAGTTTTACCCTTTTACATTTATCCTGATTCATTTTTTAATGAATATTTGTATGCACTGTGAGTTAAGAAATTGATCTGACTGCTGCATTGATAGCTATTGGTGACTGGAATGCAAAAGTGGGGGAAAAAGACAAGGAATAGTAGTTGGAAAATATGGACTTGATGATACAAATGAAGCTGGAGGTGTCATGATATCGTTTTGTAAAACCAATTACTGTATTTGTTCATAGCAAATCCTTTTTTTCAACAACACAAAAGGACATGGACTTCCCCAGGTGGATTACACAAAAATCAAATTGACAACTTCTGTGGGAAGACATGATAGAGAAGATTAATAACAGCAGCTAACACCAATGCACGGGCAGACTGTGGAACACCATCAATTGATCATACGTTAATTAAGGCTAACACTGAAGAAAATTAGAACAAGTCCATGAGAGCCATACCATGACCTTGAGTCCCATCTGCATTTCGAGAACATGTCAAGCACAGGTTTGTCACAAAGAACACTAATGACCGGATACCCGATGAGCTGTGAAAGGACATCAAGAGCATCATTCATGAAAAAACAAAGAGTCATTAAAAGGAAAGAAAAAAAGATCAAAATGATGTCAGAATAGACCCTAAACTTTCTCTTCATCTTAAAGTAGCTAAAGCAAATGGAAGAAAGGATGAAGCAAGGAGCTGAATAGAAAATGTCAAAGGGAAGCTCTAGAAGACAAAGCAAAGTATTGTAATGAAATGTACAAGGATCTAGAATTAGAAAACAAAAAGGTAAGAACATATTCAGTATATCTGAAACTGAAAGAACTCTAAAAAAAATACAAACCTCAAGTTGAAATCTTGAAAGATTCTGTGGGGAAAATATTGAGTGATGCTGAAGTCAAGAAAAGATGAAAATAATAAAAAGTCACTGTCCAAAAAAGAACTAGTTGACAGTCCACCAATTCAGGAGGTAAAATATGAGCAAGAACCAGTGATGCTAAAGGAAGAGGTTCACACTGCACTGAGTGGTGCATTAGCCACAAACAAGTCTCCAGAAATTGATGGAATACTCATTGAAATGCTGTAGCAAACTGATGAAGCACTGGAAGCACTCACTTTCCTATGCAAGGAAATTGTAAAGACATCTACTTTGCCAGATGACTGTAAAAGATCCATATTTGTGCCCATTCCAAAGAAAGGTGACCCAACAGAAAGTTCAAACTATAGAACAGTATAATTGATATCACACAGGTAAAGTTTGCTTAAGATCACCCAGCAATGTTTGCTGTAGTCCTTTGACAGGGAACTTCCAGAATTTCAGGCTTGTTTCAGAAGAGACCGTGGAGCAAGGGATATCATTGCTGATGTCAGATGGAGCTTTATTGATAACAGAAAGATCTTTATTTGTATTTCTTTCACTATGCAAAGGCATTTTACTATGTGGACCATAATAAACTATGGATAACCTTGAGAAGAACGTGAATTCTAGAACACTTCTTGTGCTCCTGAAGAACTTGTTCATGGATCAAGAGACAGTTGTACAAACAGAACAAGTGAATAATACATAACTTAAAATCAGGAAAGATGTGTGTCAGTGTTGTATCCATACTTGTTCAGTTTATATGCTGAACAAATCATCAGAGAAGCTGGATTATATGATGAGTATGGCATCAGGATTGGAGGAATGCTTATTAACAACCTTTAATATGCAGATGACACACCATTATTGCTGAAAGTGAGGCGGAATTGAAGCACTTGCTGATGAAGTTCAAGGATTGTAGCCTTCGGTATGGATTAGATCTCCACGTAAGGAAGACCAAAATCCTCAAAACTAGACCAATAGGTAACATCATGATAAATGGAGAAAATGTTGAAGTTGTGAAGGATTTTATACTTAGATCCACCACCAGTGCTCATTGAAACAGCAGTGTAGATACCAAAAGATGTATTGCATTAGGTAAATCTGCTGCAAATTATTAGAATATTGAAGAGCAAGAATTTTACTTTTTGGACTAAGGTGCACCTGACCTGAGCTAAGATCTTATTTCCACTGCATTATATGTGTGTGAAAGTTGGACATGAATGAGGAAGACCTTAGAAGAATTGATGCATTCGAATTGCAGTGCTGGAGAAGAATACTGGAAGTAACACGTACTGCTAAAATTCAAACCAATCTGTATTGGAAGAAGTTAAGCCAAGTGTTCTCCATAGAGGCAAGTATGGCAAGACTTCATTTTTCCTGCATTGGACATGTTATCAGGAGAGACCAGTTCCTGCAGAAGGACATCGTGTTTGGTAAAGTGGAGGGGCAGTGAGGAGGAGAGGCAGTAAAGAGGAAGGTCCTGGAAGAGATGGATTGAAACAGTGGCTGCATGAATAGTCTCAGGCATAGGAACAATTGTGAGGCTGGCAATTGTTTTGTTCTGTTGTGCATGGGGTCACCATGGGCTTTAGCCGACTCGATGGCACCTACCAACGACATGCAGAGCAGATTATCTGAGAAGTTGGCCTGTATGCAGAAGAATACAGCATCAGGATTGGAGAATACTTATTAACAATTTGCCTTATTCAGATGACACAACCTTGCTTTGCTGAAAGTGAAGAGGAATTGAAGCATTTTCTAAGGAAGATTAAAGTTTACAGCCTTTAGAATAGCTTACAACATGAAGTCAAGCAAACAAAATCCTCAAACAGTGTGATACATAAAAATTCTTATGTTGTCAAGGATTTCAGTTTACTTGAACCTCCAGTCAACCCACTTGGAAACAGCAGTCAAGAAAGCAAAAGATATATTGCCCTGAGAAAGTCTGCAAAGGTATCACCTTGAATACTAATGTCCTGACCCAAGTCACGATATTTTTAATCGCTTTATATGCATGCGATAGCGTACAACAAAAACAGAATTTATATACTTGAATTATGGTATTGGCAAGTAATCCTGAATATTCCATGGATTGCCAGATGAATGAGCCTATCTGTCTTGGAAGAAAACCAGCCAGATTGCTCTCTAGAAGGGCGGATGGGCGAAACGGTATCTCCGATACATTGGACAGAGTATCAGGAGAAACTAATCCCTGTAGAAAGAAGGGCATTAAGCTTGATAAAGTGGAGTGTTAGTAAAAGAGAAGATCTTCAACAACCTTTATTGACACAGTGGTTGTAACGATAGACTGACTCACACTCCCAGCAGTGGTGGTGAGAATAGTGTGGGACTGGGCAGTGTTTTAGTCTGCTTTACAGAGGGTCCCTGTGGGTTGGAACTGTTTAGAGGGCTTGGAATATGAACATTCCTATTTTGAATACATGACTACAAAGCCAAAGAGTTAAAGAACTTTCCCTGATAATATAGTCAGGAAATGGTAAAGTACATCAAACCTTATTCTAGGTTGCTTCCAAAGTATTTGCTGCTTTGATTGCCCTACCGTTGCATGTTTGTCTTACTTTATATAATTTCATTCAACGGACTCAAAATTAAACTATCTAATGGGTATTAGCAGGTTATTTATATGATGTATTCAAGAGCACATTGGCCTTTTGACTCTAAAATAAAAATATTCCCTTTTTTAATTAAGTGGTTATTATAAATTAACTTGTTAAGAAAAATTAGTGGGGCATGACAGCTTTAGAACTGATTGTGGGGGAAAAGAAAATGCTCAAAAATTGATTGTAGTATGAAGATTGTACAACTCTTTGATATGGTTGAACTATTGAATTGTATGATATGTGGATGAAGTGCCAGTAAAACTGTTAACAAACCCAAGGACAAGGGAACAACAAGCGATCCAAATTGGTGGTGAGGTGGGTGTGGGAGGCCTGGTAGGGCATGATCAAGGGGAATGTTAACAAAGAGGAAGTGCTGAAACCCTGGTGGGGACTGAGCATGATAGTGGGACAGGAGGAAAATCAAGGGAAATAGAGGAAAGAGCTGGAAGGCAAAGGGCATTTATAGAGGTCTAGATAAAGACATGTACATAGCCAAATATACTTTTATGAGGATGGGGAAATAGATCTATGTGCCTATATTTATAGGTTTAGTATTAAGGTAGCAGAAGGACATTGGGCTTCCACTCAAGTACTCCCTTGAAGCAAGAATACTTTCTTCTATTAAATTGGCATTCTATGATGCTCACCTTCCCGACACAACCTCTAAAGACAAAGCAGATGAATAAGCAAATGTGGTGAAGAAAGCTGATGGTGCCCGGCTATCAAAAGATATAGC